ATGTGTAAATAAAACCACTATCCCCCAAAGAGACCATGTGTAAGGCAAGACTCTAAACTTGTAAGATTTGATCATCTCTACCAGAAGCTTGAGTGAAATTTTAACTCCACTGATTGGCTTGTCAGTCTTCACAGCTGTGTTCTGGATTCTACTTTGCCAGATGGACATGCCTAATCCCAAATTGCCTTGTCACATCTTGGAACAAAAATGTCTCACTCACTCCAGCGCCTTTTATCAAAGAACCCTACGTCCTGTTTTAAGAAGCAGTTAAATCAAATGCCTTCCTTGATGTGACAGTCATTACATGTTATGGCTTTAATTCTCACTACACTTCAAGAATCGTGACTCAGTGGTCAGCTCTGCTGCCTCGCAGCACCAGGGACCTGGGTTCGATTCCAGTCTGAGGCGACTGTGTGGAGTTTTCATGTTCTCCTGTGTCTGCATGAGTTTCCTCCCACAGTCCAAAGACATGCAGGTTAGATGGATTGACCATACTAAATTGCCCATAATGTCCTGGGATGTGCAGGCCAAGTGGATTAGTCGTGGGAAATGCAGGGTTACAAGGATAGGATGGGTCTGAGATGAATGTTCTTTGGTGGGTCAGTGTGGACTTCTGGGCTGAATGGCCTGTTTCCACATTGTAAGGATTCTATGATTCTGAAGGCTTTGGAGAATGATTGTAGGGATGAGAGACTGTAGTTTCATGGATAAACTGAGCTAATTCTTCTTAGACAAGATTTAAGAGTTGTGATAAAAGTTAGCTGGACAGATTCCAAGGGGAGAAACTGTTCCCATTGAAGGAAAAGTTAAAATCCAGAGGACACTGATTTTGGTTCAAAGGTAAAGGACCCAGTGACATGAGAAAAGAACTCTTTATTGTGTGTGGTTAGGATCGATACACACTCCCTCACTCTGTGGTGGAGGCAGATTTGATTATGGCATTCAAAAGGGGATTGCACAGTTACCTGAAGAGGAAAAAAGCTGGCACAGCTGTGGGGAATGGAGTAGTTCTACCTGAGCTGTTGTAGCAGGGCCAGCACGGAGACACCATAGGCTGAATAGCCTCCTCTGAGCTTTCTTAGCTGGTACAGGCACCGAGGCTCTTAACATGCTATAACCATCCTGGTTCACTGGGACAGAGGGAATGGCCTCCTGATGATTATTTGCGTACCATCTTTTGAAGAATGCACGTGAAATCCCCTTTTCTTAAAAATGCAGGTGTTTACATACTTACAGGGCTGGACGTCCTCTCTTTCACAAAAGCCTTTGATCTGTCCCAGCAATCTGCCAGAGAAGACATTTAACTTTTTTTAAACAGGACTGGATTGGCCACGCATCCCTATGAGATTATAACATCACCTCGGATCAGACAATAAACAGTGACCTATTGGCCTACACAAGTGAATCCAAAACATCCCAACAACATTGACTAAGAGCAGAGTTAGCCCAGTTTCTTGGCTAATGGTCATTGCTCAACTAGGAACTAAAACAAAAATATGGTATTATCCCATTGCAGCTTGTGGGATCTTGTGCTAATTGACTGCTATATTTCCTGCACCAATGACTGCACTCCACAACTATTGAATTAATTGTAATATGCTTTAATGTAACCTAAGGCCATGAAAGAAGCTATATAAATGCAACTCAGTTTGTTCAATCTTGTATAACATGTATTCTGAAGACCTGATGGAGAAAGGACTTCCAATCTAGTACGATGTTGACAACATGGTCAGAAATCCATATCTTTGAGGTTGTTAGAGTCATTGAAATGGAATCAGACCCTTCAGTCCAACTCGTCCATGCCAATCAGGTTTCCCAAATTAAACTAGTCCCATTGCCTGTGTTTGGCCCATATCCATCTAAACATTCTTGAACGTTTTCCATGCTTTTTCAAGTCTCTGCCTTAATTTCACTGCTAATGCTCCTCGCATCCTCATGCCATTAGAAATAATTCCTTAAAATGAATATTTGTTGTTGGATTTAGCTTCGTATTTTGAGGATCCTTTGTTACTATATACCAAGATTTTTTTAACATTAGCACTGAACATAGAACGAGGTTTCTCTGTCTCTGTCTGTCTGTCTGTCTCTGTCTCTGTGTGTGTGTGTGTGTGTATGTATGTGTGTGTGTCTCTCTTCCCTAACCACATGGACTCCAGTAACATTTTTAAGTAGGAGATAGCAAGAACATTTTTAAGTAGATTCTTTTGTTCCTTCCCCTCTTTGCCCACTCCTACCCAAGAGGCTGTTCCCTTTTACAGTGGTGTTGTGTTGTGTTCTTACACAGTAGTGGGTGGGGTGGGATCAGAGTTTGCATGACACAATTGAGCAGAAACTAACTGGTTTAGGGTGGGAATCAATGCCTGATTTTTGTTTTTAATCTTGGTGATGGCAGCAAACAGTTTAAAAAGGCATGGTCATTATGGAAAATGTGTTTTTGTTTGTCCTCTTTGGGCAAACAGTCGAACTGTAGAAATCTAGAAATGGTGACATCACGTAAACTGCCTGGAGAAAACTGATAGATAATTGGCCTGCTGTGTTCATCCAGCTCTACACCTTGTTATCTCAGATTCTCCAGCATCTGCAGTTCCTACTATCTCTGAAACAATTTTAACCCCACTGCGAAGCCCATTTCTGAAGAAGGGTCTAGACCCGAAACATCAGCCTTCCTGCTCCTCTGATGCTGCTTGGCCTGCTGTGTTCATCCAGCTCTACACCTTGTTATCTCAGATTCTCCAGCATCTGCAGTTCCTACTATCTCTGAGATAATTAACTTGGCTGTTTCTTTCAAAACAATGCCAATGGCTGTTTGCATGAAAAAAAACTCCATGTGTTTTAAAAGAAGACCGTTTTGAGTGCTCCCAATGCCCTGATTTTGCTGCCAATAATCTGTTTAATGAAAAAGTGAGTGAATTTCTGACACCTTTTGCAGTTGTAGGCTCAACGTTACCATTCCTTTTTTTGATATAGTTGCATCTCCCTCATCAGGCAAACTCTGGGCCAGCACCTAACAGGGTTTCTGAGTTTCCCTGTATTGGTATCTAAGGGCTGTGCATTTGTGTTGCATTTTGTTACACTTGGACCAGTGTGCCCTAAATTTTGTTATTTTGTGGAATAAAGTGTTTGTGCATTGTATATGCTTGCCTTTTTTAATCCACCAAAAAATGTTTTCATCAGATTTCAGTCACTGACCATGCCACTGAAGTGATTTTGATTTACGATTGTTTTGACCTTGACATTTAATCTCCTGTGGTCCAACACAGGACCAGTTTGGAGCTGCTAGATCAGGGAGCCACAACCTGCATTGACATATTACCAGGTCTACTGTCTCACTCTTAGCCAAAATACATCTCTTGAACCTATTTGGCATCCACCTCAAATTCCCAACAGTAATAGCTTATTTTGTAAGTCTTTTACTTTTAGTACAATAAACTGTAAATTAGAGGATGTCTGTAGCCTAGCAATTAATTTGGCATTAATGGCTTTTATTTATGATGGAAAAGGCATATGGAAGCTAAAACCAGAAATTGAGGCTTGATTGAACAGAATCCCAACTGTAATGCATGCCAAATTTTCGGATTTCTGTTGCTAAATCTTCAGACAAGAGCTCAAAGGATAGGAAAAATACAATAGCACCAACAGCTGATTGGGTGACTCCATTCTAGTGCTCAGCTGTGCACAAAATTTTCGAATTGTCTTAAAAAAAAAATCAACTGGACATAAGCAGATGGAATGAAATGTACTTATCGCAGGTGAGGCTTATGTCTACCCGAGGGAGAAATGTCAAAATGTTCCTCCTGTGATAGTCCCCAGATGAACAAGTGCAGTGGGTCTCTCTTTCAAGTGAGACTTTTTTTTTTCCCCCAGAGATGCTGTCTGACAGATGTTTGAACTCCCAAAAGGATGGAGAAAATTTATGCTCATCTTGACCTCCTAAAGATATTTAAATCTCAAATTGTTAACTTTGGGGTTGAGGTGAGAGGAGGAATCATTGTGGCAAGGATATCAAGGATTAATTGAATTGGATTTTGTTTTTGTTTTTGGAATTTAGTGAACTGGTCATAGGGTAAGTAAAGCAAGCATGAAACCCATGGGCTAGTATGGGGCGTAGGTCAGAATCTTCCGACCTATTTACTTCCCCATAAAGATGAGCTGAAGGCTGCAAGTGACTACAATAAACTCAAAGAATTGGCAAGTCGACTCATAGAGTCATACAGCATGGAAACAGACCCTTTGGCCCAACTTCTCCATGCCAACCGGATATCCTAAATTCATCTAGTCCCATTTGCCAGCATTTGGCCAATATCCTTAAAACCTTCCTATTCATGTACTCCTCCAGATGCCTTTTAAATGCTGTTATTGTACCAGCCT